GGATGGGTGTGGTATCACACACATGTAATCCTAGAATTCAAGTGGCTGAGGCAGAGGGATTTCAAGCTGAAGACAAGTTTAGGCTAAATAACACACAAAACACACAAAAAGCACAGCGTAATGCTTTGCTACTCAAGGGCATGGTCCTGGGACCAGAGAGATCATCACCAGCTGAGACTTTTTTTAATCAATGTAGAAATTTTGGTCTCATCCAAACCTACTGAGTCGGAATCCACATTTCTCAAGATCTCCAGGTGGTTAGTATGTACATTAGTTGAAATGCCCACCCAGTCATCACCCACACACTCATGGTCAATTATCTCCTGCCCACTCTCAAAAGATTTGAAGGAAAAAAAAAGATCAATATAAGAATTTCTTGGGTCAGGGGCTGGAGAGATAATTCAGCAATTAAGAACACATACCGGTCTTGCAGAGAAATTGAGTTTGGTTTCCCAGCACCCATGTTGGGCAGCTCACAACTCCAGCTATGAGGGATTGCCTCTGACCTGCCAACTGGTGCAAACACACACACACACACACACACACACACACACACACACTAAATAAATAAATAAATAAATAAATAAATAAATAAATAAATAAATAAATAAATAAAAGAAATCTTAAAAAAATAATTTCTTGGACCAAGGAGTAACAGTTAAATGACAACAGTACTTGTCTAGCATCCCCAAGGCTCTGGATTCCATTCCTGTTTCCACCACCACTACTACTATAATAATCTTCCCGCCCCTCTCCTGCTTCTAGCAGGGTCTGACTCTAGCTCAGCGTGATCTGGAGCTCATTCCGTAGTGCAGGCTGTCCTCAAACTCGCGACCCTCCTATCTCAGTCTCTCAAGTGTTGAGATTACAGGCATGACGCCGACCCTCTCCCTACAGATAATATATTCTTGTCAATGTTCAAATCTACATAGATAGCCAAAGCTTAAGATTCTTTAGAATGTCGTGAGGGTTATGTCAAAAGGTTCAATTCCTCTGCTCTCCCTAAAAAGGAATTTCTACCCAGAAAACCTCTTGGAAGGGGCCGGTGGCGGCTCAGCATCAACACAGACCTGTCATGCCCCAACAACTGCCACACCGGCGGCAAATGCTCCATTTCCAGCCGAAGGCTAACAAAACCCAAGAGAAACGGCGCGAGAAAGAAGCAAGGAGAAGGAAACACTGCCACTCAAACACAGTTCCTCCAGACCATCGTCGTTGGCGGGGCTCGGTTCAAATCTCCCGGGGTGGCTGGGGCTGCAGGACTTGCGTACTGGAAGGGTGTGGCGATTGGCCAGAGGGAGAGCCAATGTGCACCGGGCTCTCTGTACAGCGAGATGCCCAGCCGACGAGGTACGAGCCTAGCGATTGGTCACGGGGCGGGGTCCTGGTCTGGCACGCTGATTGGCTGACGCTGCAGGCAGGAGGACGGTGATAGGTTGTTGAGAGAGCGGAAGGTTTGAATGGTCAGGCCTATGGCTGTTGGTCTTGCCCTCCTGCCAGTTCCGGAGAGGAGCAGCAAAGCTGCATCTCGAGCTACCAAGATAACAATTTTAACTCGAAGAACTCCTTCTGTTCCTCAGATTCCTTGTCATTCGGCGGAGTCTTCGCTTCCGTCCAGTCCTGCAGGAGTTTCTTTCTCCAAATTCAAATCTGCCTCTAAACTTAAGGTAAGCGGAGAGCCTGTCCATCTCGGGCGCCCGATCGTCCCTGCAGCGTTCTTTGGGACCGGACGTCCGAATAGCTTTATCGCGTTAGTTAGATCCCTTTTTTTCGCCCCCTCTGGTCGAGAGCGTGAAACTGGATGATCCGGACCAAGCCAATCTTCTCTTCGTCCCACCTTTGAAGGTCTGAGCTTGCCAGACGCCTGTAAGTTTTCGCCCTGAGAAACTGCAATGCGACATTCCAGCGGGTTATATACTTCATCCTTTGGGGGTGCTCCTCCACCGGGGCTTAGGCGGGCCCTGGAAAGGGCGGAGAGGTTGGAAAAGGTGAACAGCTGGCGTGTTCTTCTCCTAGATAGCCCTCCCTCCCTTGGTGAAGACTCCGACGTCATGTCTACAGGATTCTTTCCGTGTGCAAGAGGAGAGGGTGCTTCTGTTTCAGCACCCAGTTTTAGGTCCAATCCAAGGAAGATGTTACACCTACTTTTGGAGAGAAACTCTTCTTTTACCACCCGTTCAGATTTCCCCAAATCTCCGGGAGACAAACTCCTTGACTCGACAAACCTAAGCATTTTGTCTGGGTAAATTATTTTAAAAATTATTTATTTTTAAATGATGTACAGGAGAGAGAGAGAGAGAGAGAGAGAGAGAGAGAGAGAGAGAGAGAGTTAGTTCTGCGTGTAGGTATATGCTTGTGATTATAGGTGCTTTCAGAGGTCAGAGGCATTGTACCCCCTGAAGTTAGAGGTGTTTGCTCTGCCTGAAGTGGGTGCTGGGATCTTAATTGCAGTCTTTTGGAAGAACAGCAAACTCTTAACCACTGAGCCATCAACCCAGCCCGTAAATTAATTTTTAGGTTTATCCCTTATCTTTGGTTTTATGAACAGGTTTGTTTGCAGAATTATCCTGTTTCAAGGTTCGAGTCTCAGCCGTGACTTTGACCATGTCACTCTTGAGTCTTGGGCTTCCTTTCTATGTAACAAATAATGGAAAAAAAAAAAAGTCTTTTTTCTAAATGGGACTTAGTGGAGTATGTTTGTGATCTTTCCTTCTGGAGGTTGAGACAGGATGACCACAGGTTCAAGGCCAGCCTGGGCTACTAGTGAATTTCAGGACAACTAGTGGCCTAGAGAGTGAGACTCTATTGCAAACAAACAAATACTAGCAAGAAAAAAAATCATTTTCTATCTTAACAGGAATGATCTTTTCCTGTCTTGTGGGGATCAATGTGCTATCTAAGAAGAACTCTGAAAATTCTATTATTATTTAAGTTTTATGAGTTGGTCACTTTAATTGTATCAGCTTTAGTGTTGTACTTGAGATTCTGGTCATAATGTCTTTACACCTCATTAACAAACAGTGTTTGAGTAGTAGAGATTCCAGGGAGAAACTGCATTTGTGTTCAGTGTGAACAGGATAGAGAATGTGGGGTCAAGATTCTGCTCACTGGGCAGGTGAGATGGCTCAGCCTGTAAGGCACCTGTCACTGAGCCTGATGGCCTGAGTTGGATCTCCTGTCTCCTGGAGTTGTCTTCTGACCTTCACACACAAGTATGTGCTCATACAAAGAATAAAATGTAGTAAAAACTATAAAAAAAAGAGATCCCTTTAGATTCTCATTAAATAAATCCCATCTCAATGTGTTGGTGAGAATTAAATGAGGCTCACATTATTGTGTTTTGTTTGTTTGTTTGCTTGCTTTTTCAAGACAGGGTTTCTTTATGTAACATCCCTGGCTGTCCTGGAACTCACTCTGTAGCCCAGGCTGGCCTCGAACTCAAAGAGATCCACTTGCCTCTGCTTCCCAAGTGCTGGGATCAAAGGTGTGCACCACCACTGCCAGGCTACCTTATTGTAATAGAGAAAATGTGGGGGATTATTTCCAGCCTGAGCTAGTTCCAAATAGCAGCTAGATTTATTTGGATACTATTTAGATTTTTGTGGTAGTAACTGAGAGAGATTTCAAATGAAGTCATGATCTCTACCTTTTTTAGGATAGTACACCCTAATGGGAATCTTGATATATATTCTTATGTCTCAACAGAGGAACCCCAAAACGTTGCCTTGATCTTTCAAATCTTAGCAATGGAGAGATGTCTGCTTCTCAGCTTACCACTTCTGCTGACTTTGAAACTGGTAGGGGTACCGTCTTTAAAGAGAAAACTAACTTTAAGATTGTTATTTTTATTTAATTGCTATGTGTATGCATGTTTTTGCATGCATGTATGTATATGTACCACATGCATGCCTGGTGCCCTCAGAGGCCAAAAGAAGAGTTGAGAGTTGGATTCCTTGGAGCTAGGATTACTGACTGTTAGGAGCTACCAGGTAGATGTTAGGAGATGAACCTGGGTCTTTCAGAAAAGCAGCAAGTGCACATAACTGGTAGCTTGCTTAACTTGCTAACTTGGGCTGGAGAGGTGGCTCAACCTTTAAAGGCTAATGCTTACAACTATAAGGAAAAGGTAACTTTTCCAAGAGAGGACGAGGTAATAGGATAGAAGTGGAAGCTGGTGAGAACAGGTAAAGAATCTATGTAAAGCCAGGGATATTGGCATGTGGAAGGCTGAGGCTGCCAGCGCCACCACCTACCAAAACCCTGAGAGAGAACATTTGCCTAAAAGTAGGAATTTTGAGGTTAGATAATTGTTTAGTTGAATGATAAATGGAAAGAGAAAATAACAGTAATAGAAGTTGCTTTGCATTAAAAAAAAGTTCTTCAAGAAAGAATATATTTTGTTGACTAATTAATGGTGGGGATGAAAATACAGTAAAAAAATTTTTTTTGTATCCCGATTTAATCTTAGTAGAAGCAAAGAAACTGGCATAAAGAAATGCTTTGTTCTACAAGACCCCTCATTCATCCTTAGTACTCTCCAAACACAAAAGAAATACTTTGTGAGCTAATTGAGGTGTGTGTGTGTATGTATTTCTGAGTCTAAAACAAAAAAAGTTTTGCTAGAAAACCTTCTATTATTTGCTCTAATTTCAGATTTCCCAAGTAGCCACTTTTCTTTTCTGTTTGTTTTCTTGGGGAGGGGAGAAGGTGGAGGCTTGAGACAGTAGCTCAGGCCCGCCTCAAACTCACTTTGTAGCTGTTGAACTTCTGTTCTACCTCATTTTACCTTCCAAGTGCTGGGATTGCAGACATTTGTATTTATTCATGTTTTACCTGCATGTATAGTGAATGTGTGCCTGGTACCCAAAGAAGCTAGAAGGGGGTGTCAGATCCCTTGGAACTGGAGTAGAGCACCATGGGGGTGCTGGGAACCAAACCTGGGTCCTCTGCAAGAGCAGCCTGTGCTCTTAACCTCTGAGCCATCTCTCCAGCCCAGTTAATTTTTTCTTTCTTTCTTTTTAATTATTTATTATTAATGTGTGTTTGTGTGGTGGTGGTGGGATAAAAGACTATGGGATAACTGATGTGTGTTACCATGTTTTGTTTGGTTTGGTTTTTTTGAGACAGGGTTTCTCTGTGTAGTTTTGGTGGCTGTCCTGGATCTCTCTTTGTAGATCAGGCTGGCCTTGAACTCACAGAGATCCACCTGGCTCTGCCTCTCGAGTGCTGGGATTAAAGGTGTGCGCCATGGCGGCCCGTGCTGAGGATTGAACCTAGGACTTTGTGCATGCTAGACAAACACTCTACCAAGTAAGCTACAACCCCAGCCCATTATCCTTCATAACTGATTGCAGGTTCCTTGGATTCCTCAGGACCTCAGGATGTACAGTTAATTGGGAAGTAAGTTCTGCTGTTAAATGGTCTGCATGCCTTAGCCTTTCCTCACTTTTCACTGGGATGTTCTATGTGGACTTTTCAGACTATGAAGTACTTCACTTGGGATGTTGGTGGGCTTGGAGGCCTAGATTCTGACTTGACAGCCTTTAAGTTTCCTAGTTCTAAATAGTGTTGTGAAGTGTGGGCTATTCTACACCAGCATACACAGAAATACCCTGTTTTTACCTGGAGGGAAATGCTCTCCTGCACTCATGCTAGGGCTTCTCTTTGCACGTGAGAGGTGCCGTATGCTAGTGGCTCAGGATGCAGGGTCCGGAATGAGATTGTCTGTGGCTCAGTACTTCATCAGCTGTGACCCACAGGTTCTTAATTCATTGCATCGCACTCTGTTTATTCATAACATTTGAGATAACAGTAGCACTTTTTATAAACAGCTATTGAAAAGATTAAATAAAAACCAGAAGGCTGGGCCACTTGAGAGATCATCTCAAACAAAACAAAACACCATCCAACCCCAAAATGAAAACAAACACTAATTAGAGCCAAGTATTATGATTTTTTTCTTTTTTTTTTTTCCTCTCTTTTTTCTTTTTGGTTTTTCAAGACAGGGTTTCTCTGTGTGTAGTTTTGGTGCCCGTCCTGGATCTTGCTCTGTAGACCAAACTGGCCTCGAACTCACAGAGATCCACCTGGCTCTGCCTCCCGAGTGCTGGGATTAAAGGCGTGCCCCACTGCTGCCAGCAATATTGTTTACATTTGTAATTCCAGGACTCAAATGGTGAGGCAGGACAATCAGAAGTTCAAGGCCAGCCTTAGCTACATAACAAGACTGAGGCCAGCCTGGGCTGTATGAGACAGGATCTTAACACTATCTCCCATCTCTACCCCCCAAAAAAGAAAGAGGAAGAATAAAACAAAACATATCTAGCAAATACCAAGCATTATATTTTTGTTGTTATAACTATGATGAAGTATCACTTGGAGATCCTAAAATATTTAGTCAGGGAGTGCATATGGAATAAAAACTGGTTTCACTCCAACTCTTTCAAAACTTATTCTAGGTGGTGGTCGAACACACCCTTAATCCCAGCACTCGGAGGCAGAGGCAGGCAGATGTCTGTGAGTTTGGGGCCAGTCTGGTCTACAGAGGGAGTTTCAGGACAGCCAGGGCTACACAGAGAAACCCTGTTTCAAAAAACCAAAAACAAAACAAAAAATCAAAACTTATTCTAAATTGACTGTTTTAATATAGTTTATCCTTAGATATTATGTAAGACAGATGTTACTTTATTGCACTAGGGAAAGCTTTCTACAGCAACTTTTATGAGTATATGTGAAAATTTTACTTGTATTATTCATGTTGTCTTTGAACTGTTTTTTTTTTTTTTCTTTCTTTTTTCTTTTGTCCTGGTACTCTGTAGATGAGGCTGGCCTTGAACTCAGAGATCCACCTGCCTCTGCCTCTAGAGTGCTGGGATTAGAGGTGTGTGACACCACTACCTGGACTGATTTTTCTCTTTTATACTTTTTTTCTTGGAGGCAGGGTCTCACTGTAGTCCAGTATGACCTTGAACTTGCAGGGATCCTCCTACTTCAGCCTCCTGAATGCTGGCTTCATAGTGGAGGACCACCAGGCTGGCTTTGCGTTCCTCCAGATAGCCTGTGCTGTACACACTAGGTGGAAATTTGGGAGGGAAGATGGAAATTCATTTTTTTATAATAAGCCTCCTATGGTCAATGTTAGAACATGACTAAGTTATGGTTTGTTTCTACATAAGATGTAAGGCAAGCGTGGCGGTGTCGTCCGGTGGGTGAGTGCTTGCCTAGCTTGTGCAAGGCCCTAGGTTCCATCCCCAGCACCAGAACAGGAATAAGAGATGCAAGACAAACTCCCCTCTGATGCATGTTTATCTTGTCTTGTTATGCTGGTGAATTGAGGACCTTCTTCCCAGGATGCCACTGGGTCTTGATAGTTAATACCCTGCACATTGTTGTTGGCAGAGACAAATCACCAAAGACTAGAGCTCCTTGAATAGAAGAGAGGAAAAACTGGGGTGCCCCTAACCACTGAAGAACCAAACTGCTTGGGGATTACCTGACTAGTGGTTTGTTTTTGTTTGAACTTTCAGAAATGATCACCAGGACCTTATGAAAGGCATCCCAGTAGGTAGACCGACCTGCCCACCCGCCTTCCTTCTTTCCTTCCTTTTCATAGAGGGTCTCACAGGGTTTGGCTAGCTAGGCCGGGGCACCTGATGAGCACAGGGACTTTAGGCGTGTGTCACCATGCCCAGCCTAGACTCTCCTTTGGTTCGTTGGACTGTGGGTTTGTTTCTCAGGTGGGAGGCAGAGGGTTCCCAGCTGGTGGTGTGGCATGTGGATATGGGATGCTTTAAGTAGACAGTGTCTTTCAGGTACAACATCTTTGCAGTACTCCAAATGCTTTGGACCATGGCCACAGAAAGGAAGATGCCAATAAAGAAAATGTAAGTATTTAATGGACACCTAGATATATTCATTTCATTCCTTTAAGTGAACAACTGCTTGACGTCATGAAACCTAGAGCTGTTTGTACCTCACTATGCCAGACAAGCAAATCCATCATTGTAACAGTGAAAAAACTGTTTTTTCACCTAAGGTTTAACCTTAGGACAAAAACCTAGCTCTATAGCAAGTTGTGAGTTATGTTCAGTTGATCAGTTTAAGTATACAAATTGCTGTTACTATCATGTAAATAACTGTTTTGAAATCATCATGTTATGTCTGTAGGTGTAGGCACCAGGTGTACACGTAATACACACATATGATAAAATTGGTATCCTCCAAAGTAAATCTGTGTGTCAGACATGAAATCCAAAGCATTATATATCTTCAGATGCACATTTAATGGTTACATTATGTGGTTCATGAGATTTATCCATGGTTTGATCAGATGTGATACTTCTGGTATTAGTACTACTTTTCTTCCTCCAGCCAATGCAGTGTGTCTTCTGCAGATAAACACCGATCTAAAGACAATGGAGTGGGAGCCACCTAGGACCCCAAGGTTCCAAAACATGCCTGGAGATCCTCTGGCTTCTCCTCTCTCTGTGCTGGTGAGTTACTGGATATCAAGTGATGGCTGGAGTGTCATGGGCTACAGAGTAAGCTGTGGACTTCTGGCCCGTTGACTTTTCCTGAGCTGGCGTAGGTGAGGCGGTGAATCCGAGCAGGCTGAGGAGGAGCTATGTGTCTTCCGATCTTTTTAGTTGTTTAAACTGTGGAGTGAGAATATTCCTTAGGTCTTTGGTTTCTTCTTCTTTCCTCTTCCTTTTTTTGGGGGGTTTTTGAGACAAGGTCTCGCTCTGTAGTTCAGGCTGGCCTAGAAGTCACTATGTAGTCCAGGCTGTCCTCAAGCCCACAACAATCCTGCAGTCTCAGTCTAGGTGCTGGGATAACAACCCTGCACCACAATGTACATTGTCCAGTTTCTTTATTCTTTTTGGAAGTAAGGTCTCACTGTGCTGCTCAGGCCAGCCTCGAATGCCTGTCCTCTTCTGTCCTTCCCCTCGGTCTCTGAGTCCTAATGTTGTAGGTGTCTGCCACTGCAGGTCGCTTCTTCTAAGAGTCGTACACTTTTAATTCCTACATTTATATCATTAGTATATTTTGAGTCAGTCTTTGTACATGATACAAGTGTTCTGAATAAAGGGCTTCATGTTCGTTTGTTATTTTTAATTTTTTTTCTTTCCTTGAGACAGAATTTGAGTATGTAGCTCAGGCCTGCCTCAGCCTGCTAATCCTTTGATATCAGCCTCTTGATTAGTGGGATCATAGACTTATGCTTTCACACTCGGCCCTAACTAGGTTCTAATCTTGGCAATTTACTTGACAGGAAGATGGAATCCTGGTGGACAATGAAATGCGGTATCTGGACAGTCCCATCACTGCAGTTCCTAAACTGAGTAAAAAGCTGAAGCTGGAAGACCAAGAAGGGGTTTCAGGGGACCCAATGGAGTTTTCCCTGGAAGACCAAGAGGCCAAGGTACAGTGTTCTGTTGCTTTCCATTTCCATCCTCTTTGTTTCATCTCATTTATTGTGTGCAGGTGTTGTCTGTATGTTTCTGTGTGTGCATGCATGTGCAGGTGT